TCCGCTGATCCGCTGATCCGCTGATCCGCTGATCCGCTGGTCCGCTGATCCGCTGATCCGCTGATCCGCTGATCCGCTGATCCGCTGGTCCGCTGATCCGCCGGCAATGGTTGGACAATATGACGGCCATGAGTGCAGGCTGAGAGCGGCTTCATTGGCTTTGAGTTTAAGTTTTGGATAGTTCTTTCGACATTGTTTGTCGCTGACATTCATCACCATACCTGGTGTTAAATTCCAGATTCCAATAGCCATCTTGCGCTCGCTCCAAAACTCCTCAGTCCACCAAGAAAAAAATTTCAAACAGTTTCAGGTGTGAACATCTGGTGGATAAACAATTTTTTTGACAAACAAAGCAACAAAGTCATCGAATGCAAAATAAGAATCTTTGAGTTCTGAAAGCAATATCTGAAGGCGATCCTCTAGCTTTGGCACGTTTGGAATCATAGTCTGGAGAAGCCAACACACACTGCCCAAGAACCGCAAATCAACACCTAAGTGTTTCGTGTGCATCCAGTCTGGACAAAGACCCCGGTGAGACATGAGGGTCCTAAACAGTGGACACTTGGAAGGTCGAGGTGTTTGCCATCGGTCTGGCTCAAGCGTCTGAACATAATTCCAATTCCCAAGCGCGCCCAGGGGAATTCCGCAGAAGGCACAAGGAAACTTGCTGTTCCATCTGGGCTGTTGGTGCCACTCATTGAAATATTCGAGGTCACCAGTCGTAAAGAGAACCACCGGGAAGTGGCCTTCACGGTCTTTCCCAGCATCTGTGAACATTTGCTCGAAGTCATCTGCAATGATCCTCAACAGACTTTTGCTGCTGTTGAAAGTCTCACTCTTGACAGCGCAATGTGACCATATGGCCGCTAGCAAGAAGTGCTGGAATGTCTTCCTGGCAACCAATGACTTGAAGGAAAGGAACATACAGCTCTTCGAACTAGATCCCAGGCCCTGAGTTATTGCTGCGGCATCCCCATGGAGGGATAAAGGTACTGCGCGGCGTTTGTAGTTTGCGATGTCTTTGACAGGGTGAAACCGTACTGCCGGGTGCATGCCTACACTGTCCCAGAAGGCAACCAAATCACCATCATTTGGACACAAGAAGTGCTTGAAGGTCCCCGATTTGCAAATGCCCCACCACACATCACGAGGCAAGAGCAATGGCAATCTGAGAATTGCTGTCCGTCCAACACTCCCCTTGGTCGGCGCAGCCCTTTGTGGAATGCCATGCCAGGAAAGAGTGAACACTGGCTGGGGCAACTTGCGTAACAAATCACGATTCGTGTTGTTTCTGTGAATGCCATGACTTCCCAAGCCGGCCAAGATTTCCCAGGACCTGACTCTTGGCCCTCCAGCTTCATCGATGTCTTGAAGGGCTGCAGCTGTTATTTGTTGAACCAGCACTGCCGGCACTCGGCCCCAAACAAACAGCTCAATGAGCAAATCTGACAAGTGAGAAGGTGTCCTCACATTCTTGAAGTGGTTCTCCTCAAAAGCTTTTGCAATTTGCATAGCACCGCCTCTGGAAAGCATGTGGCGAGAGACATCATTCATGGCCGGCCAACTAAATGCCAGAGAAGTGATTTACAAGAGCATCAACACACTATTGTTCTTCTTTTGGGCCGCACAAAAACCTTCAAGCAGTGTCTTTGATAGGACATTGAAAGATGGGACGAAAACCCTCAAGCAGGGAAATGAACTTATAAATTTGACACTAAAAAGAAAAAAGGGAAATTGGAAATGGGAAATGAGAAAGATATCTGGTGGAAATGGAAAATTGGAAATGGGAAATGGGAAATGAGAAAGATATCTGGTGGAAATGGAAAATTGGACATGGGAAATGGGAAATGAGAAAGACATCTTGTGGAAATGTCTGGGACGAACCTTGCAAGACAGACCGGAATGCAGAGTTTCTTTTCAGCTCACAGGTTCGAAAGGTCTTGTCGATGGTAGCCGACCTGCACATGGACACACAAGAATTGTGTTGGAATCCGGCATGGAAACCAAGTTATGAAAAGTTGACTTCAAAGTTTCATCAAAGTTTAATCAAACTTTGAAAATGATCTCTTGAAGTTTCATCAAACTTTGACGAAACTTCTAAACTTAATTTCAAACTTTAATTAAAGTTTGAATTTCCAAATAAGACTTTGATTAAACTTTAATTTTCAATTTTCAAAGTTTTATTAAAGCTTGATATACAAAATAAAACTTTGATAAAACTTTGATATTTATAATCAAACTTTTATAAAACTTTTAAAAAATAAAAGTTTCATTAAACTTTCATTTTAAAATTCAAAGTTTTATGAAAGTTTGATTTTAATGATAAAACTTTGATCAAACTTGAAAAAGTGTAAATCAAAGTTTTATCAAAGTTTGATTTGAAAAACTAAACTTTAACAAAAGTTTGAAACTAAGTCTTGAAGTTTCGTCAAAGTTTAATGAAACTTCAAGAGATCATTTTCAAAGTTTGATTAAACTTTGATGAAACTTTGAAGTTATATGTTCTATTTGATGACTGTTTGCAAGCAAAAGTTACAACTCGAACTGCAAATGCCAGTGCTATCTTCAATAAATCTTGGAGTTTGTGCTTGATGACCGTCCAGCCTCACAAGTGAAATTGCCTGTCCAGGCGCTTGAAAACATCTTCGGCCGTCTTCAGCGCACTCTTTGCCATGTTGATATTCTCCCTGACGTTCTTCAAGGCCCTCCTGCAAGCCATCAGAAAAAGGTAGAAAAGTAGACCTGACATTGTAACAAACAAGGTCACAACACCAACAACAGCAGAAGATCATGTCCTCCAGCTGAGTCGTCGCCCTGCGTTTGATTCTTCATCGCTGTCGAACTGCAGAGTAGGACTTGCATGTGAGCGCCTGCGCCGCAAACAAATAACAAAACAGGAAAGGCTGACACTCTGAGACAAGAAACTCTTCTTGGGACAAGAAACTCTCAGACAACCAACTCTCAGACAAGACATACTGCCAGAAAAATCTAAAACAAACTCTTAGACATAAGCCACTCAGAAAAATGAAACTCTACCTAACTCTCAGACAAATGTGCGCCTCTTGCGTTTCTTTCTCTTTGGTTCACCTTCTTGTTCTTCTCCTTCACCATCCCTCTTTGCTTCCTCACCATCCCTCTTTGCTTCCACCTGAATTTTGGGGCTCTGTGTCTTCTCGTCTTCATCCATCTCATTTTCTGTGCCATTCTGATCCCCCTTTGGGCTCTGTGTCTTCTCGTCTTCATCCATCTTATCTTCGGTGTCATGGTGATCCCCCTTGCCACCTTCTGTGCTTTCCTTCCCTGTCTCATCTCTTTCATGGTTATCCCCCTTGTCATAGTGCCCTTCCTGCTCTTCCTGCTTGACCTCCTGCTTGACCAGGGCGGTGTCAGAGGCTGCAGCTGGAGCGGCGTCGGTGTCAGAGAAGGCTGCTGGAGGGGTGCTAAAGGGGGGCTGGTGCGGCTGCAGCTGGAGCGGGGTCGGTGTCAGAAGAGGCTGCTGCAGTGGCGCCAGAGGGGGCTGGTTCCTCAGCATCTGGAGGGGCTCGTGCCTCAGCATCTGGAGGGGCTGGTGCCTCAGCCTCTGGAGGGGCTGGTGATGGGTTGGGTCGGGCCTGAACTGGTGCTTTGGGAGCCACCTGTCTTTTCCGCTGAGGCTGACTTGTCATCTCGGCCGCGTTCCATGGCGCACCGCTGATCACTTCCATTGGAGGGCATTTGATCAGCTGACCTCGCGTCTCCATAGTTGGGCACCCCAGCTTCCCCATATTCCACCCCATCAAGCAGAGCATGTTGTGGATGTCCCAGGCTTTTTGCATATCGGTCACCTTCAGGATGCAGTATCCATTCTGAAGCCAGTCCCTGTTGTGGAATTGGCTGGTAATCCCGGAGGGCTGCATACAACTCCATCAAGTTGCCCGAAGACCCCCGCGAGCCAACCCAAACGCAGTACTTTTGTGGCCTTTGTCGATCCGCCGACGCCTGGTCACCTTTCTCTGCGTTGCCTTCTGCGTTGCCTTCCATTGCAGACATTTGCTATGGTAAGAAAGGCTGTAGTTGCTTTGGCGCTGAGGACAACTGGAAAAATCTCAATGGCACTGCTTTGACTATGTTATTCTTTTTTAAGGTATATGCATGGTGCCCACCGCCTGATAGTTTGAGCCATCCGGTATAAGAAATATACGGCCATCAATGCCTCAGACCAAGTGGAAATTCAAACTTTTCTGACACTGAAAATCTGGACATGGAAATGTGGAAACGTCTTTTGGGAAATGACATTTGAAATGACCTGTTGGAAATGAAGACAATAAAGAAATGAAATGGAAATTGGACAATGGGAAGGAAAAGGGGCATTGGAAAGGTGGAAATGGGAAAGGTGGAAATGGAAAGTAGGAAACGCCATCATCCATTTTGCTTTGGTGACAGCATGTGACAGCTGCTTCAAAAATTGGGCGGGCCTTGTTGGCTAGCTATGCGCACTCACTTCTTTGGGTCTTCCGCTGTCTTGTCCTTATCTTTCTTCTCGTCTTGCTCACCCGCCTCACCTGTGACTGTAGTGTCTTGCTCCAAAAAACAAGAGCTCCCTGATCAGATCATTGGAGCTTGCAGCCCCGGGGTCTGCTTGCCCATTTTCTTCCCCCGACTCCGACGGCGAGGAACTGTCAGGTGGCATCTCTTCCAGTGCCTTCTTGGCAAGAAGCTGCTGCGCAGCAGCCAAGATCGGCAGCGCTCCTGCGCTGGGTGCAAAGCCAGGAGCCTGGTCGTCCAAAACCTGCAAGTAGCCGGATCCATCAAACCGCAGCAGCATGCCTTGGCGGGGCTCTGCAGGCTCTGCAGCAGCCTTAGCTTTGGCCTTGGGCTGCTGGCGCCGACCGCGAACGCTCTTCACGCCTTTCACCATGGCCTCAAAGTCCGTCTAGGCAACTTCTTTCAAAGAGCTATGGATCTTTGCGCCGAAAATCTTGCAATCAGATACGGTGGATATGGGAAATGTTGGCAGTTCTATACATATATATATGTTGGAAACTGGACATGTCCTGAATGGAAATGGGAAAATGGAAAATGGACATGGAACCAGTTCAAAATTGGACCAGTTGGACATGTGAAAGTGGACATGGAAATTGGACATGTTGGAAATGGGAAATGGAACTAGGTTCAGGTTTTTCTCCCTTTCTGCCTGTAGGCTGGTTGCAGTCGGATATGCTTGGTGCACATCACTCATTGCAAGAAGACTATCCCATAGCACCGATTGCCTTGATCAACTCCTGGACGTCCACAAAGCATTGACTTGCCTCGAGTAGACAGGTCTTCGCATTGGCCATGGTGGCCACTCCTGAAATCCGCATGTTCTCCAATGCCATTTGCTGCCGCAAGAGTGTATCAATCTTGCCCTGGAGCTGCACCTTGAGGTTCTGGCCAGTGGTGCCAGACACAGGAGAACTCAGGGCCTTCTTGACTGATTCCTTGACTTTCTTGCCCCAATCTAAAGCCTGGTCGATCTTCCCCAGGACGTGGTCTGGCAACTGACATGTTGAGCCAGAGGATGGCAAAGAGGGAGGAGCCGCGTCACATAGGGCCAGCGGCGCTTGCGGTTGCGGTCGACCTGCAAGGGAAATGGAAATATAGAAAAGTTGGAATCACGTTTAGAACCAAAATCGGACATATGGAAATGGAAACATGACAGGTGAAAAGAAATTGGAAATATGGAAAATGGATAATGACATGTGGAAAGGTTGACTTCGAGCCTCCATGCTCCTGCCTGTCGAACTGCACTTGTTTCTGCTGCATAGTAGATACCAAAGCAGGGTCAAAGGTGTCGAAGAAGGTTGTCAAGGCCTCCATCTCAGACTCCTTCTCGAGAGCTCGGGGAGCAGACTGCATGTTGACACTCTGCGTCACACCCTTCTCCTTAGTGATGCTGATGCTCTGGATGCAATAAAAGATCTTTCCTTTGTCCTCAACAGGCACCACTTCCCCACTTTGAAGGGCGCGCTCGAGCTGCATCTCCCCGCCTAGCTTGGCGGCGATGACACAACGAGGGTATCCCTTGGCCTTCTCCTTGCCCTTGGTCAAGTTGTACTGCTTGCTCAACGCTTGGGCCACTGGACAGTCAGCCACATCCTTCAAGACGAACTTCCCCTTGCTGTTCTCCTCAACCATGTTGTTCACCAACTTTGTTTTTTGCGCCCTGGAAACGGTTTTGTCATTGAAGATGCTCTGCACCGTCTCCGGCAGTGTGGCCAAGAGCTTGTTGAACACATAGGCTTTCTTCGGGTGCCTCTTTTCGTCCAATTCATCCGAGGGCTTCTCCTCCTCCTCACCCTCCCCCTCCTCATCACTGCTTTGGGTGAGCTGAATTGCCTTGGCCTTTTCTTCCAGGGCTCTCTTTCCACTCTTTTTCTCCTTGGGGTCCTTGGGATCTTCATTCTTTCCCTTGGTCTGTGACTTCGGACCCTTCCCCTCTTCGTCGGTCTTCTTTGTCTTGCTATCCTTTTTGGTCTCATTCTTCTTCTTGTTCTCTTCAGCCTCTAGCTTCTGAGTCGTGCAACTCGAGGCAGGCTTTTTCATTACAGACTTCGCCTTACCTTTTGCCTTCGCCTTTGCCTTCTTTTTTGGACTTCCCTTTGCTTTTGGACTTCCCTTTCCTTTTGCTTCCTTCTTTTCACTCTTCCTGCCTTCCTCCATGTTGTCACCCTCCTCCTCTTTGGCCTCATCCATGCCTTCAGTTGCGAGCTCCATGGCGTGGGCCAACGCGTCCTTTTCCTCTTCCTCCCCCATTGCAACAACGGACAAATTTGCGGATTTTTTTTTGCTATATCCAGGACTTGAGCTTTAAGACACGGGGGTTTGTGACACCTCTCTCTCTCTCTCTTTTTCCCTCCTCCTGGACATCTGGACATGTCTTGTGACGATGTTTCCCTCTCTCTCTCTCTCTAAACGTTGTGTGGACATGTGGAGATTGCAGAGGAAAGCGCTGGAAATGCGAAAATGAAAATGAAAAATACGCAATGTGAAAACACGACATGAACAGAAATGTGACAGACATGTGAAATGGACATGAACAGAAATGGAGACATTGTGGGTTAACAGAAATGTGAAAAGTTAAAAAGTTGCGGAAAAAGAAACACTAAATTCGAAATAACAAAACGATTCTCAACCTTTCACACAAACATGTTGACGTGTCTAGAACATGGAAAATCATCTGGAAAATGTCAAAAGTTTGGTCAGTTTTCAAGAATAAGATAATAGTCTATTAAGATAATAGACTATTTTTAGTCTATCATCAAATAGTATATATACTAATATAGACTAAGACATATCCTGTCTATTAATAGACTAAGAGGATCCACTGGGTAATTGATGGCTGTGGAGCGGTGTGGTGGATGCAGTAGCACGGCTGCTGGTTTGGTTGGATTTGATTACATCGAACCGGAGTAACAGTGGTCAGACTGACATGTCCCCGATTCGCAGGAAGTCGGCTGCTTGTTGTCAAGGAGAGGGGAGAGAGGAGAGTGAAGATGCGAGAGGCGAGGAGGGGATCTGTTTGCAGTGTGTGGCTGGAGAGGTTGGTGGTCGGCGATGATGTGTGAAAATCAATCAGCGAAAGGC